TTTGTCCGTTTTTCCCTACCAGGGGACCTGGTTCCAGGCTTATGAAAATGTGTGCAAATGCTGCAAATGCCCCACCCAGGGAACGAAGCAATAGGTATGTCTGCAAATTCACACTGGGCGCTAATGTACATGGTAGACATGGTAGAAACGTTTTTACAGCTAGGGTCATAGGCTCCTGTGAATGACAAATTATCCCAACCCTGTACCTTGAGCATAACTTTGATGGCAAATTCCCCATCGTGAGAGCAAAACAAATGCCCGCCCTGAGCTATTGCTCTCCAAGACTGCTGACCAGTGAACCAGGGACTTCCGAATCTTTAATTTGTACCGGTACCATACCACCGGTCAATTTCCCCTAAATGTACCTTATTCTAGATCGTTTTATGCCAGGTATAAACATACATACCCTATCTGAGGCGATAGTTAGGTAGACCTGAATCAGTAATAATTTGCCCGAAAACAACTTCGTCCCCTGGGGACGAGGTTGGCCCGAAATTTCGGTATGCAAAACAAGCAAACAAACCCACAGAAACTCAGAATTTTTAAAAATGTAATTACTGTATTCTTTCTTCCTGCGGGTAGTTATATTTTCCATGGGCTCCTCTATTCTCAGAAAAAAATTATTATGGCCATGGATTTTTCACAGCGGCTCCTCCAGGAGTCTCTGAGGACCAACTTAAAAATACATCCTTCCTTTTTACCCTTTTACCAGTTCAGCCCAGCCGTAGCCTGTTCCTCCAGAGTGTGGAAGATGCGAAAGAGAAAGGCGGGCGAAAGGGGGGGCGGGGCGGGAAAAAAGGAAAAAAGAAGTTTCCTCCTGTTTTTTTTTCTTGTTTGCGCTTTCTCAAATTCTACGGACCCGACTGTCTCGGAGCTGGTTCAGCGGAGTCTGTGCCTGCCCGAGGAAGGGAGGGATGAGTGCAAAGGAGTTCAATGAATAGTCTTACATGACGCTGCCCCTGCATTTTCGATCAGTTGCCCCGTACATTACACTGCCAAGTTAGCAGAACTTGAAGGAAGTGAGGCACTCGGAGTCAGGGTGAAAAAAGGTAGGATTTTCGGCACTGTTTACTTTTGTCAGTCTAACAAGGTGGGGAAACTTCTCATTAGTCGTTTTTCTATCCATAGTAGGGGGAAATTAGATCTAGAGTTTTGGTATCTGTCGTGAAATCGTCGTAGTCTTGGAATATCACTTGGTCACGGCACATGTTGCGCGTGGCTAGTGGTATGGTATGACTTCTGTTCATGTTGAATTCTTACGCCTTGAATGCCAACATACGGGAGCCATAACTTGCGTTCATATCAGTAGTAGTATAAGATAATTTCGTTAGATTCACAACTGGGTTCCAGACTTAACAAGCGATTAATCTCGGTTATTGTATATCTGAAAAATATTGACTTGAGAGTGCATGCCGGCCATCAATTTCATATGGTTGAGGGAGTTGACGAAAATCGTATACTTATTTCATCATAAAGCCTACCTAAAACAATCATTGATGCCAGGGTATTCATGTGCATTCTTATTTTTTCGCTATTTGTCTTACATTGCGCCTAATTGCAATTTCACTTGCCAGATTTCCACGTTACGTTGGCGCGTCGTTAGTAATACTTGCTTGAGAAACGCAAAATGCTATAAATTCTTCCAGTCCATTTGTACTTTCGTCATCTTTGAATTGTTGGTTCTCTACAGGTTTTTTTTTAAATAAACCTTAGATTTGTTTAATGGAAAATTTACAAGAATTCTTAACATCGATCGTTGATAGTACAGAGATTTGTCAACAATTTATTATTTGAAAACTTTTATGTCATTTGTAAATTTAAAAACAGTAATATAAGAGTAGCAGGAAAAATGTGTTGTTAATCATCTCATGACCATGGTATGAACTAAAAACACATTTTGTATCTGACAGCATTTTGGAGTCATGCATGTTACTAATCACTTGTCAAATTCCTGGACTTTCTGTTCCTTATGAATGGATCTACAGGGCTTTCACTCAAATTTTACATTGCTGGGTTTGTACAACACTAGTGAGCTTACGCAACAGGACGAGAGAGGGAAGAAGACGGCAAACCTTGTGTGACAAGCCTGACAATAATTTTGTTAGAAAATAACTTTTCACAAAACAAACTTTACTTTACATTACTTTAACCCTTTCACTACTACAGGCTAATGGCCCCCAACCCCCCATCTTCTTGAACAATTATCAAGGAGCTAAGATGGCTGTGATAATTATTAATCAAAACATGCGTGCTCAGTAGATTTCAGAGCCTTGTTTCACACAATTAACTACACAGTTAATCAGTCATTCTATAAGTCTAAAGAATTAATAAAGACAACTATCCCTGCATTCACAAGAAATTTAAGATAAAATCGCAAGTAACGAAAAAAATTCAAATTTGCCGCCATTTGCAGTGCCTATTGTCAGACTTTGAATGAGAATTTCTTTGTAATCCATCACAATATGGCTTACTTTTTTGCAGCAAAACAAGGGAAATTGTTAGAATATAACAAAGATGCCAGATTTGTGTTCACAAAGCCAGTTTTATGACTGTGTAAAGCATTGTCGTAGCCTGTTCGGCATAGGGCCACATGGCAAAATGCTATATTCGTATCTTGTTTCCACTTTGCAGTGTAAAAGCCCTTGGGTGTTCTTCGCCCTGTTTATGTACGGTACACATTTCCTTTTTCTGCCCTCCATACAAGCTGAAACATATTGATTTGAGGGTACAGCATGGTTCAGTTTGGTTCAGTTTGTTCCATCTACGCTTTCGCTTTCATTGCAATAAACCATCGATCGTTGGTGTGCGAGGTCAAGTTTGAAATCAAGTGTTTTCCGCTTCGATCCAATGCGTTCCGATTCAACAACAAAAGCATTACAAACAAATACATTAAAGAGAAACCAAAATATGTATCTATACCACTTTTTTGACTGCTACCCCGAACAAATAAAAAGAACGAAGCTGATCAGCACGATCCACGCCGCCCATGCGAGAAGTGTAAACATCTGAAATTGAAACTCTCGGGTTCATCACTTGCGGTTGAGTTGTCGCTTTTACTGTCTTCAGACTCACTTTCGCCGCTTTCCTCCATAGAAATTCTTGCACTTCAATGTCAGATAAGTCTGCATCAACATTCACATCACTAATACTTAAATTACTCTTACTATCATCGTCAGAACCAAAAATCGCGTTGATTCGGCGGCGGCCATATTGATAAACAAAGATAAAATACAAGCCTAAAGCACGTTCAAATCTACTGAATATCTATAATTATATTATAACTAGCGAACTAAATTCTTTTAAAAGCAAATAGACAAAAGAAGGAAATGCTCAACCATCTGGCTTTTGGTGTGTTTTATGGCATAAGAGAAATCCAGTATACAAATCCCGTGCATAGGTTCACGCACGTACATCTTGGAGCGAAGCCAAACTTCGGCCCTTCACTACTCGCCTCATGCAATAGTTTTGTATGCGCACTTCTTGTGATTTGATTGGTTTATGCCTGCCCATAACAATGGAACAATAAGTATTGACAAAGACTGCCTTACCTAGGGTATACAGCGCATTTTTTTGCACCCTTTTCTCGTGGCCGCTTTTGGCCGCTCTAGGAAAAATTGGCCATTTCCGGCCGGCCGCTTTTGGCCGCTTTAGTAGTGAAAGGGTTAAACAGATCTTTTTGTAAAAGGTCAGAAAACATTAATGTTAAGTGAGGATCTCTGCAAAACATGCAAGTAATAGGCGTGTCACATTTGTTACACACAAGCGTTTTGCTGTCCCCTCCTTCCTGCCGTCCTATTGCGTAAATTCACTGTTATTAGTAGGCGGGGACTTCAACATCTAGGAAACTTGAGTCTGACTGGATTTGAAGTCATGCATGTTACCAATCACTTGTTGAATTCCTGGACTTTCGTTTCCTTATTAATGAGCCTACACGGCTGTCACTAAGACTTTGAATTGCCAGGTGACTGTATGGAATAATATTTTATTTATTATTAGAAGGCGGGGAAAGAAGAAAGTCTTTCTAGTTCCATTGGGCTGTTCTCACAATACCGCAAACAATGTCCTCTCTGGAATGAGTTCATCCAATCTCCATACATTTCTACATTTTGTTTACATTGGCCACTTTGAAATCAAGAAGGGAAACTGGGCCAAGTGGAATCATCGCTGAGGACGTGCTATTCAGCTATTTGTTTTCCCTGTCCCCAGTAACAGTCTCAGATGTCAAGTTAATGTGACCCAGGTTCCTTTTTGTTTCTAAAGTGGTGAATGGCACTAATATCGAAATTTGTCCCTTACAAGTCGTTCCAGAAAGAGATCTTTTCAGTTTTCAATCCACATAGAATTATTTCTCTTTTTTTCTTTTATTCTTGTATTGTGTAAACTGAAAATGAATTCAAACTTTACAAACCATATACGGCACATAGTTTGGGATGAGTGGTGCAGAAACCAGGCAAATAAGAACATCTTGGGCTGAGTCAGTATTTTTTATTGTGCCATGTGAGTGAAGTATGAACTTCATTCTGTATTGGGACTTGTCCCAGTGCCATGTGAATAGTCCCTCTTTCCCATTTGTTTCCAATGAAAGTAGCCAGGGGTCATACTTAGCCCTAGTATTAGTATTAGATCTCTGCATCTAGAAACCACAATCAAAATGTCATGCAAAAAGGCTATGACACTTTCTTGGAAAAGCATTGATACTTGTTTATTGCAAAAGAAGGTTTTCAACTCCTTTTAATTCTAGTATTTCCCGGGTATCACTCAAAGTTATGTCGCTGCATTTATGTACAATACTTTTTGCAACAGCTACAGTTGTAGCTCAAGTTAAACAATATGTTTCTTTAAGAGATGCAGTTTGGGATACCTTCTATCCTTTGTCTATTTTTGTTTACTTCTCTACTATTTTGTTTCTTTTGAAAATATTATCTTTTCAATGGGAATTCATGAACCTTGAAATGTCTATAATTCTCTATAGTCAATTGTATTTTATTTTACTTTAGACAATGGCCAAAGTTCCACCAAAGTATGATGACCTTGGCAAAGAGTGTAGGGATGTTTTTGGCAAGGGATATGGTAAGCTGTGCAAAAAATCAGCTAAAGTATGTGATTTTACATAAGCTACCTAATGTTATTTTTGGTTTATGAAAAACAATGAAATGGTGACCTTATTGATGCAATGTAAATTAAGTCACTAACATTATACAAGCATTAATATAAACCAACACATCTACATGTACTGGTCACATGAGTGGAAATGTTTGTAGCAATGTTAATTTTTTCCCAGCAAATGCATCATACATTTGCGATCTTTTTATTCACTTGCAAACCTCTGATAATCTCAAAATGAGAAGGTTCGTACAGGGTTATGAATTCTTGAAATAGCCGTGAAATTTGTAAAGCAGTTTTCCAGTTTCAATTTCACATGTATGTTAATGAATCAATGGTATAATAATACCTATTAAAATGGAACCCCTAAAACTTTTTGGTAGATGAAATTGGTGTACAACCTAGTCAAAAAATGGTAAAAGGGAATGATTTCTTTTTCTTACAGGATTTGGAGCTGTCAAGCTTGACTTAAAGACAAAAGCAAAGAATGGAGTGGTGAGTGATTTCAGAATCCCAAGAAGAATAAACTGACTTTTTGGGTGATAACAAATTTTTGATGAAGTACAAGGGGAAAAAGTACACTGTGTCTCCTGGCAAGAGTGTCTGCTATAAAGCATGACTTCATATCATTTGGATTCTCTTGATTCTTTATTGTTTCCAAATTATCAAGATAATGATATACACAGTTCTCAGAGAACTGGTTCGCTAGGACAATCACAATTGCTTGGATATGCTGTTTTTGATCGTCTTGGTCATCCTAATCACCTAAAACAGCCGAAGTGATTTTAAAAACTAATCCAAACAATAATTTTACAATGCGTACAGAAACCTGGCCGAGAACTCAACGGCTTTGATAACAAAGACTTTGTGAGTTATACTTGGCATTCTTAGTATAACTCACAAATTTACCTTTACTTTCAGTCTATGTGGCACATACAAGACCTAGCAAATTTGCTTTGATAACAAAGACTTTGTGAGTTATACTTACCATACTTAGTATAACTCACAAATTTACCTTTGCTTTCAGTCTATGTGGCACATACAAGACCTAGCAAATTTGCTGTATACACTAGTCTTATTTAAAATAATTTTAAATAAGTGTAAACATTTAATACTGTAAAACTGCAATTATTGCAGTTTTACAGTTGTTTTTTATCATTCTTGTTATAATTGTTACCTTTTTTACAATGTTTTAGGAATTTGTAACATCTGGTTCATCAAATAATGACTCTGGAAAGGTTTTTGGAAGTCTGGAGACAAAATACAAGTATTCTGACTATGGTAAGTGCTTTAGCTTTTTGGAATTCACATGTACTCTTGTAATAGTTTGAGAAGACTTTTTGAGTTCATTGAAATCATGTTATTCTGAGTACAGACGAGTCCCAATTCTTCCTGTGAATTTGACAAGAGAGAGACATTCGGCAATCACCCTAAACATTTGAGGGTCACCTTTTTTGCTTTCTCTCATGAGCAAAGGTTTTGTGTGCTCAACTGACTAAAGATGTTCACACACATGTGGCTGTGTTGTCTAGCTGCATAAAACTTATAATTTATTAGTTTTTTTAAAAAAGGCTAGGGACATAAGACTGCTTGGTTCTTGCAAGTTATCATATAAGCATTTGTTTAAACATTTAGGGCAACGGATCTAGAAAGCATTAAAAGCAAAAAAGCCTTTGTTTGGAGATAAAGTGAAGGATGACATTGGTGTGATCCAGCCTTCTGACAATAACAACATCAATGCTTTTTAGAGATCTTTTTTTTTTCCCAACATTCCTCAGAGAACAGTAGCTGTCGAGAAACAAAAGATTTTCTCAGGTGATGTAACAATTATGGGCTTCAAAGCTACTGATGGCATGTTTGAAGTTTGTTGATGCTTGTAAATATTTTTACGGGTGTTTAGAATGACATCATAGTGACCCTTTTTGTTCCATTTGCTGACACTGTTCTTTTGTCTGATGAAACAGGTATCACCCTGTCTGACAAGTGGACAACAGACAATGTTATTACTACAAATATTGCAGTGGAAGATCAAGTATGTTTCAAATAAATTTGCAAGAGATTTAAAGAAAAGAGTTACAATAGTTCCTTAGGTGTTCTGTAGTTCTTAAAACACAAGATATTCTGATTTTGTTAGGTACACTAAGTCGGTAAATTTTGCTGAAGAACATCTAAATTATCAACACTGTAAAATGTAGTAAGTTTTGAAGTAGAGAGTGCAAATACAGACTGATTACTTACTCAGAAAAAGTCTATAACACGTATTTATTATATTGTCAACAGAGCTCCCTTATCACCCTCGCATGCACATATTCACTGAGCCACAAGGGCACTTCCCATGTCTATTGCCTGTACTTGTTTTCACAATTTAAATTCTTGGTTGTTTTAGTATATTGAATTTTCTGCCTAAAATGTTGTATATATTTCAAAGAATGGTCTTGGAAAGTCGTTCAAGTTTTAGCCTGAGCAATACCTGATGTTTTGAGGGCTAATCCCATCAAAGTAATGTTGTGATTTGCTTTTGTGAAAAGTTAGTGCTGGAAACCACCTCAGCTTTTGAATCTCCTGGCAGTTGTCATTTTAAAAGTTTGGGTTTGCTCCTCTACCAATGCAGCGCCACGGTTTCTTAACCCTTTCAGTTCAAAGAGTGATCAACAATAATTTTCTCTTAACAGTACATCTATATTGAAATGTGTGGAGATTGTGCAACAAAGTTTTCTTTGTGTGTTGACATTTTATCAGTATCATTCTGTGGTCTCTGCTTGGGCTATTCAGTGCATTTCAGGCATGAATGTGTTAGATTTATTGTTATTTTCTTCTTCCCTGTTATAGTTAGCTAAAGGTCTTAAGTTGGAATTTGATGCAAGCTTTGCACCCAACACAGGGTAAGTCTCTTGTCAATCCATATTTAAGGTGGGGAAAATGCCTTAATATGATTTTTCTGTACATAAAACTTGATATAGTCATCTCTTCTGCCATGCTTAAAGCCACTGAATTTGTATTTGCAAATTGTTCTCAGTGAGTGTTGTTGGTATTCATTGCATGATTTTGTGATATTAGGAAGAAGTCAGCCAAGATAAAGAGTGCATACAAACAAGATTATGTGCACTGCACAGGAGATGTTGACTTTGATTTTGCTGGGCCAGCTATCCAGGCTTCAGCGGTTGCTGGGTATGTACGATTGTTGTTGGAAGAAAAGCATGAGAATTTTAATATAGCAGCGGTGAGAATATGAGAAATGCTAGTGACCACCAAGATGAAATGAGGAGCATTGAAAGAAAAGGGAACAGGAACACACATGACATTTCCTCCATAAGAGGTGTAACTAGGAACTTTCACGTTGTAGTTATGTAAACAATGTTAAAGAAATGTATAAAAGTATGCTGCACTTTCAAAGTTGTTTTTTACTTTTGCTAATAGGACCCATTGATTTTTTGCCATACTAGTTGCATCACAAGATCCTATTTGTTGTTTGAGTAAACTATGAGTATATCAACAAGAACTTCACTTTTAACCCTGGCTAAATCTTAAGACCAGTGAGGCAGGCAGACGGGCAGGCAGAACCTTCAGATGATGATACTCTTTGTTTTTGTACAGTTTTAAGGTGATGTTACACAGAACGATTCGTAATGATAATTTTTAACACAACACAGCATTGCAATGTTGGAACACAGTCCCAACCATTTGAAACAATGTTGCAACAAAATGTTGCAACAGTGTTGCAAAGCTGTGGTGTGCTAAAAATCGTCATTGCAAATCATCCCATGTAACATCACCTTAACATGTTTAAATGAAACTGAGTTTGGTCAGTTTTGCCAGTGAAAAGGTTAATGCTTCTTCGGGTTACTGACTGTAGTTGTACAGAGTATGAAGAGTAAGCATCAGAGTTTAAGTAGAACCTTTTCTCTGGTGATAATTCATGAAGGCTGTGTAGCATTCTCCTTATCTTGGTAGGAAATTTGTGTTTAAATGCTCCTCTGTTTTTTTTGTAGGTATGAAGGCTGGGTAGCAGGATATCAAGCTGCTTATGACACTGCCAAGTCAAAACTAACTGCTAACAACTTCTCATTTGGCTACCGATCAGATGACTTCAACATTTACACTTCAGTGTGAGTATACCTTTCTTAATATCTTCAGGTGGGCTACAAACTAGAAATAGGTACGAGCTGTTGAAAAGATTTCTGATTTTTAGCCCATGGTTTGATGACATTGTAAACCAAAATTTTCTCAGCCAGAAACTTGAATATGTAGCTGGGTCCCTTCACAGAGATCTATTTATGGTAATCCAATATAGCATTCCAAAATAGTCCTGTCATAATGTAATGCAGCTTTATTAAGTGATACAGCTGTAACTCTATCTTGCCTATCTTGGTTCTTCAGAACATATGATTGAATAGTTTAAGTTTCTAATGGACGTTTTAAACCCTTTGGAATTTTCTAGGAATGATGGATCCAAATTTTCTGGATTAATTTACCATAAGGTATCGTGCCCTGTTTTTTCTCGATATTTTGTCTCTGTCAGTACAGAGGTTTCAGTAGAAGCTAGGAGCTGGGTTCCTGGCACCAGTGTTTTCTGAGCAACTTTCCCTACCAAGAGAGAGGAGAAGTCGTTACTTCTCATTGCCGTTGTAGCAAAAGAACAAACCATGGTCCTGCAAATATGGCAGATGATATGAAAAAAAATTTACATTTATGAGTTTCTTGTGAAACGGTAGCTCATACTGTTCCTCCATTGTTTGACAAAGAAATTTTGCCCCATAGTAACCTGACATTACACTTCTCCTCTCAATTCAACCAAGGACAGCCTTCTAGTTAAGAAATAGTGAAAACCCTGGTCATTAGGTACAAGACTTTGACTTTCTTATTGTCTAAAAAATCACTGGCCTATGACTATTTTTTGTATTCAGAGATGGAGCCTTTTCAGAATATTATTCTCCTGAAATGTTATACCTTCCTCTTGCTCTAGTTATTCTTAATGAAACCCCTGCACATGTTATACAAATGAAGGGGCTCCAACTGCAAGTCATGCAATTTTCTATCTCTTTAAAATGGGAAAAAACATCCTCATATCAAATTGAATGCCAAAAATACTGTTTCAGTTTCGTTACTTTAGACTGTTATTAGGCATAGAAGCAGAGCCCCTTTAAGAACAATGTAAACAATCATGTTTGTCATGAGACGTAGAACCCCAAAACTTTGTCACTGACTATCAGATTTCCTTGTAGATCAATGGCAGTCTTGAGGCTGCAGCACAACTGAACTGGGCCTCAGGTAGCAGCAGCACTGCATTCCAAGTTGGTTGCAAGTATGATGTTGACAAGGATACATCAGTTAGGGTAAGACATCATGGTGTTTTCTGCTGTTTGAATCCTGTTATTAATTCTTCATAACCAGCCGGCATTGACCAGATTTTTCAGATGCATGCAATGTACCATCAATTTGATGGTATATTTGCTTGGAAATCAGGTTGATCAATGGTATATTGGCCGGGGATCGAGGATGCTTGGGCAATAGTCAACTAGAAAAAATAGCGTTCATGGCTATTGTAAAGCGACAATGGCCACAGTGCACTGTTAGAGCACAGCCTTGTCTCTCATCTCTATGACACTGCCCCTCCAGTGTGCTCTGTGATGTGTTTATTGGGTCTGTAAAGTTTCAACTGATTTTTCTCTCAAACCTCCAATTTTATCGTGTCCTTAACTCTGTCTTTATGTAATAATATCAATTTATTTAAAACAGTTAACGCTCAGTTGTTTGTCTGACCAGCCTAGATTAGAGCGGTTTTCACTTGACTGTTGAAAGTAATGGAGGAATTGGTTTGGTTTTGGTTTTACTATGCCCTTTGGTTGGCTAGTGTATTTACTTTGGTTTTGGTTTTACGACAGTCAAGTGAAAACCGCTCTAGCATTTGCTACCTGCAGGTTTCAGTGTGATTACTTAAGTCAATTGTTACGATAAAGTTTTTTTGTTGTTGTTGTAGTGATCATTGTGTTATTGATTTATTTATGTAACATATATCTATTGGCTGTTTTGTAGGCCAAAGTGAGCAACTCAAGCCTTGTAGGACTGGCCTTTACCCAGCAACTGCGTGATGGCATCAAGGTTACTCTGTCTTCACAGATTGACACTAAAAATCTCAATCAAGGAGGGCACAAGATTGGTCTGGGTCTGGATTTCCAAGCCTAAGCAATTAGCTCTGCATTGTTCTCTGACAATATTTTAATTACCAAGTCCATGCAAAAGTGTGTATTGGATTTTAGTGTTTTTCAACCAGTGTGAGGAAGCTTCTGAATTTCGCGGTGAACTGCTTGTGGCTATAATAACCTGTAAAGTCATGTAGTTGATTTTGTTTGGAATAAACTTCAAAGAGGTATTTTGTGGTTTGTGGGTTTCGTGTTAATGTGGTTTGATGGGGTCTGCCAGGCTAAATTATTAAGGGTGTTAAGTGCAAATTCAGGATTGGTTAACATGCCGACTCGTGTTCCATTAAACATCGACAACAATTTTCCATGGTCTGTACTCTTATCGATCGTAGAGATGACGTCAAAACTCAAGTGGAGCCACTCTCCTGCGGCTCATGGTTTCACTTCAAAGTTTTGAACATTTTGACGTCAATAGGAGTATGGATCATGGGAAATAAAAATATTGTGTTCGATTTATTTTTTACAATAACATTGCCAGTTTTTGACGTCCATTTCCGTTGAAAATTCTCCATAACTAAAATCACGCTCGCCAGAAGAGAAATTGCGCCACGACCACGTGGCGTAATTTATAGTTCTGGACCAATCAGCGCGCGATAAATCGATCTTCCCCTCCCTCACGCTGAGACTGCAAGCATTTCAGTCAGGGGAGTGCACGCGAATGCGAGTGTCGACGCGAGAAACGAGACGCGCGTGGTCATTTGCGTGTCTCGCGCGTTTTGCTTGAATGACCAAGAAAAAAGAGAGGTTGCTCGTAGTCCACTCACGCTAGTCCCGTTGTGCATTTGTTGCTAGCCTTTGCTTGGTGGAAGGAGGCGCGTGAAGGACGAGGTCATGGAACCCCTTCTTTCCTAGCCTCATGAATGCGTGACAAACGAACCCCAAAGGACGTCTTCGGGGAGGCTGCGCTTCTCTCTTTCAAATGCCTTCCTCTCAATCTAACGCAGACTTCTCGCTCAGTTCGCTCGTCGTCCACACTAAAGCCACCCCCGAAAAAGGCAGATGGAAATGAAGACTTTTGAAATCGGTTTGAACGCCCTTCTGAGAAGTCAGATAGTGAGTACTATAATTATATTGATTATATATTTACACATTATCTTTTTTCATATACCGTATTTACTCGATTAACCGCCCTGGGCTAAGTTGCTCAAAGCATGGTTAGCTTTAACCATTGGTTAAGCAGTATCAAAACCAATACGTTGTCAAGGTATTAAACGCTGGTTAACGCTAACCATGCTTCGAGCAACTGGGCCCTGGGCGCTCATTAAATTTGTAGACCTTGGGATTGGGCGCGTTTGAATTTTTCACCATTTTCAGCAAGTGCAGTATGTTTATTTTGCAAAAAAACGATAAATGGTAATAACAAAACTAGCCTCCTACGCAGGCGAGTTTAGGGAAGCTCGTTTTTCCTCCCTCCCTCCTGGGAAGGAATGAAAAACGAGCTCCCCTAAAAACGCCTGGGTGGGCGGCTATAACGAAACGGGAAGGTGTAACAAAGCCCGGGCCTAGATCCATACCGGTTTTCACCGTTTTACGGAAATCAGTCAGATTTTTCATAATAAATATATTTAAGTAAAAAACTTAAAACTTTTCAAGTTGAAATCTTGAAAATGGTTTGGACAATCAGTAAATATCCTGTCTGAATGACTCAGAAACTCAGGAAAGGGGACTTACGGGAGTTAAAATCCAAAAACATTTCCCGGGGGAGCATGTCCGCTGTCCTCCCTAGAATAGGAAATCGGTCAGTATTTATTCTAGATCCGCGCCTGAAAGCAAAATTTCTGTAAAATACTCTGAAGAAACTCCGTTTTCGGAGGGTCTATAATTATCTCTTATTTGAGATTGTGTGGGGGTTGGCGCTTATTCTAGGCTGGGCGCTAATTCGAGGTTGGGCGCTTATTCGAATAAATGCGGTACAGTGTGTATCAGACAGTATTTTTGAAAGAGAAGGAAAATCTATCATTGAGTATTTAAAAGGGCGTCAAACTAAAATGCTTAGGAAAGACAGACCCACCTTATGGCGTATCATTTTAATTTGTTACACATTACATGAAAATGACAAGAAGGATGGATCCCTGTTTTAGCGATTTATTCTTAGAAAGTAGGTATGTTAAAGGGGAGCCATTTTTCAATGGAAGGTATACGAAGTAGCCTGCGAAAGCATCCGTTTCTCCTTCGCTCTTCGCCGCTGAAAGGGGGATACTCTCTCTTTCTCTCGTTCCGTTGGTCGGGTAGGAGAGAACCCTGGGAACGAGGTTGGTCCATATTAACCCTTTCACTGCCAGAGTGTTTGATGGGGTTGTGTAAGGTGACCGTAACTTTCGAGTCTATGGACGAAATCCTATGATGTGACCATTCAAATGAAAGTTCTCCACCTGTACTTTCACATGATGCTATTTGCTTCTCAAAATTTTAGAAAATGAAATTTGGAACTTTGGTCGAAATTTGCCTTTGGCCACATTTGGCGGTGAAATTCTCGTACTCGTAGTCGTCCTCGTCCTTGAATCTAAAGATCTCTAGTAGAAAACTCCAGTCTGGGCTTGTCTCATTAAAACTGCAATGTTGAGAAGACCATTGCCCCTTCAAAGCCCCTTAACACACCCCCCTATCTCCTTATTTAGAAGGTCACATGTTCTCAAAGACTGGCGTGATAGTCGGAAGTCGATCCTAGAAATCGTAGAAGCGGCCTAGAAGCGCTGTTTATTTACGTTGCAGGAGGTCAAACCATTTCGCTTTTGCCTTTTTTGCCTTTTACACGTAAAAGGAACAGAAAAAGTAGGTGTGCTTTGGAAATCTCCGAAGAAATCAAGTCAGTGTATGGCATACTTGCCGTTAATTTGTCGACTGAACTGAAAGGTCCTTGGTCGCTGTATTAAGGTCTTACATAAGCGTTGCACGTTGTGGAACCCATTCGTCAATACTAGGCAAGATGCTAGCCCTTGAAAAAGTGATTATTTGTGCTTTAGCTTCATCTATGTGGATTGATATTTCTTCCGCGATCGCCCCTCTTCCTGAAGAGAACATGAATGTGGTAAGTTGAGTTGATTTCACTTGCAAATTGCGGTCAATACAATGCGCATGAATACAGCTTAAGCTTATGTCTTAACCGAAAAACAGGTGTGAGAAGGGGTTGATCACTAGAAATGCATGTAGGTAGCTTTATAAAATGTTTTATACTGTGACGTTATCACCAGGCACTAAAACACAGCCCGAGGGCCGGGGTGTTATTTTATCACGTGATATCTTAACTATATGCCGATCCGGGGGGGGTAATCTCTTATTTAGCCTAAGAGGGTATGTGCTGCTGAACAATTCCATGATGTCCTTTTCAAAAAATTGTTGATTCTGTGTGTGAAACAAAAATGAATCAGGTTCATAACATAAGGTCTCTTGTTTTAACAAGGGAAACAAATGAACAATTTTTGTCTTTAATAGGGTCAGCAGGGTTTGGCCTTGGCAGCACAACTCTACCCAAACTTTCCTTGAGTGTCCCCCCACCTCTGATTTACCATTCCTGTCACAGCTATGGGATTCATGCTGTTTTAAATGGTGTTAAAACATTGGTGTTGATTCTTCTTCATACATGAATCCGGTCAATTTTCTCCATTATATGCCAGGCCCACTGTGACAGACATTAAACCGCTGTGCCCTTTGGTCAAAATTCTTTAATGTCTTTGTTTTGTTTTTGTAATTTATTTTGTTTTTATTATTTATGTATATATATTTCTTTCATTTGTCAAAAAATCAGTCCCAGGCAGTCTGGCGAGGGAAAGTAGAAACTTGACAGACATGGGCTTAACAAAAAGAAAAATGTTAATTTGTAAATTAAGTCGTGGACAAAATGGAGACCAAAAGCTTGAGGAGAAATTGAATAAGAACAGGAGCTTACAGGCTCTTGAAATGAGGCACAATTCTCAATGTATTAGAGTGGACTCTGGACTCTGGACTGTGTGGTGGACTGATAGGGTTTAAATTGAGGACCACAGTCTGACAATGTACTGTGTTTATTTTAAAACCTGTATTCAATATTTAGAGGGTAAAAGTAAGATTTGCAGATAGTGGACTAGAAATAAAGCACAGATTTAAGCTAATTATTTATTTTCTTTAAGAGCCCCACAAGATATGCTTGCTTAACTTCCTTGCTCTTGGCCCATACACCTTGTTCTGAAGGTCAAGTTGTGACAAGTCTAGGACACTATCAGTAAAACTTGATTATAGCATTTTAAGCTTTTACAATAATGTCTCTTACACTTTGCAAAGGTAAAACTTGTGACAATGTTTTCACTTGACTGCTACCCCCAGCACCATTTGCCTCTCTTTTTGATAGACCATTTCCTCCTGTTTGGGGGAGGAACGCGTGACATAGCCTCAAAAACATCTGTGTAGGAGGCTTGCCTGTCCTATTTCTGAGAGCCAAAGGCTCCATCGTAATATCAGATGGTCTATTTTGAATCAGTTCATGGCAGGCTCTGGAATTCATTGATTGATATCAATTTTCACAAGAAAAATAAAGGACTGTTGTTTTGTCTGGGAATGGAGATACAAGGTGAAATGATTCCTACATGACTAATAATTACCATTGTTCTGGCTTAAATCTATTTTGTTTCTGTAGACTGAGATAATTCATTACAATGGCTACCCAGCTGAAGAGTACACCGTAACAACAGATGATGGATACATCTTAACCATTCAAAGAATTCCTCAGGGTCGTCAGGAAACATTCTTAACGGGCCCTAAACCATTGGTTCTTGTTCAACATGGTTTGCTTGCATCATCTTCTAACTGGGTTGCAAATTTACCAAATGAAAGCTTTGGCTTTATTCTCGCAGACAAAGGATTTGATGTTTGGCTTGGAAACATTCGTGGAAATACCTACGGTAGACAACATGTCAATCTCTCAGTTGATTCAGATGCTTTCTGGAATTTCACGTAAGAGAGATGCGTATTTGAAGACATGTTATTAAGTAAAAACGTGAGAAATGAATGTCAGTATTATTTAGAAAACTAGTTTTCTGTAAATTATTGGAGTGTAAGTTCAGGACTGTGCCCAAAGCCATTTTATTTCCTGAGACACATTGTACTGTCACAGTGTTGAAAAAATTATGAAAGGCACACTATGGGGCT